GCTGCTGCAGGGGCGGCTGCTCCAGGGGCGGCTGCTGCAGGGGTGGCTGCTCCAGGGGCGGCTGCTGCACGGGCGGCTGCTCCAGGGGCGGCTGCTGCAGGGGCGGCTGCTCCAGGGGCGGCTGCTGCAGGGGTGGCTGCTCCAGGGGCGGCTGCTGCAGTGGCGGCTGCTCCTGGGGCGGCTGCTTCAGGGGCGGCTGCTCCAGGGGCGGCTGCTGCAGGGGAGGCTGCTCCAGGGGCGGGTGCTGCAGTGGCGGCTGCTCCAGGGGCGGCTGCTGCAGGGGAGGCTGCTCCAGGGGCGGCTGCTGCAGTGGCGGCTGCTCCAGGGGCGGCTGCTGCAGGGGCGGCTGCTCCAGGGGCGGCTGCTGCAGTGGCGGCTGCTCTAGGGGCGGCTGCTGCAGTGGCGGCTGCTCCAGGGGCAGCTGCTGCAGGGGCGGCTGCTCCAGGGGCGGCTGCTGCAGGTGTGGCTGCTCCAGGGGCGGGTGCTGCAGTGGCGGCTGCTCCAGGGGCGGCTGCTTCAGGGGCGGCTGCTCCAGGGGCGGCTGCTTCAGGGGCGGCTGCTCCAGGGGCGGCTGCTGCAGGGGAGGCTGCTCCAGGGGCGGCTGCTGCAGTGGCGGCTGCTCCAGGGGCGGCTGCCGCAGTGGCGGCTGCTCCAGGGCGCGGGTTAGGGTAGGGCGTCGCGGCGGGCAGCGGTGACGCCACGTGGGTCCCGCAGGGGCGTCGCGACGCACAGGAGCCGCGCCTCGCGGGTCCCGCAGGGGCGACGCGACGAGGCGGGGGCGACGCGGCGGGGCCGCGAAGGGCGACGGGGCGGGGTCGCTACGGGCAGCGGGGCGGGGCCGTGAAGGGGCCGCGAAGGGAGCCGCGAGGGGGGCGCGAGGGGGCCGTGAAGGGGCCGTGAAAGGGCCGTGAAGGGGCTGCGAAAGGGCCGTGAAGGGGCCACGAAGGTGCCACGAAGGGGCCGCGAAGGGGCCGTGAAGGGGCCGCGAAGGGGCCGTGAAGGGGCCGTGAAGGGGCCACGAAGGTGCCACGAAGGGGCCGCGAAGGGGCCACGAAGGTGCCACGAAGGGGCCGCGAAGGGAGGCCGCGAAGGGACCACGAGGGGCCTGAAGGGGCCGCGAAGGGCCGTGAGAGGGGCCGTGAGAGGCCGTGAGAGGGGCCGCTACGGGGCCGTAGGGGAGCGCGACGGGCCACTAAGGGCAGGGGACGCGACGGGAGAGTAGGCACACGGGGCACGACTCGGGCAGGGGCGAAGCGCGCTCCGGGCAGGAAAAAAAAAATCGATATTCGGTGGGCCCTAGGAAACGTTCCCACTAGGGAACCTGCTCCATACCATGTGAAAGAACGAGGGATGAATGAACTAGCAAGCAGGTGGGTACAAGTAGGAAAACCTAAAAGTGTTGTACCCCATATTGTCTACCCCACTACAGCCTACACAGACTATAGCATATGAGTTTGACATCGTCAACTACGTGCGCCGGTTCGTCCCCGACATGGCGAAGCTGACTGCCCCGCTGACTGACCTGCTGAGGAAGGGGGTTGAGTACACGTGGGGGGAGAAAGAGCAAGCTGCCTTCTCGGCCCTCGAAAACATTTTGTGCTCACCGCCCGTGCTTCACATCGCAGATCCGCACCGTCCGTTCGAGCTTGGCACCGCAGGTGGTGCAGGATTTCGGGAACGGCCTCTAGCCAATCGCGTACGAGTCCCACAAGCTGCACCCGCCCGAATGCAACTATCCGATACACGACCGCGAGATGTTGGCGATCGTGCACGCGTTCAAGGTTTGGCGGTGTTACCTGACTGGCGCCGACGTGACAGTACGGACAGACCACCGATCACTACAGTACTTGCGTGCCCAACCAAAACTCAATCCGCGACACATTCGCTGGTTGGACTACCTCGAGTCCAACTTCCACTACACGGTTACGTACAAAAAAGGCGCATCCAACATCGCCGACGCACTCACCCGCCCTACCGCCCAACTCCATGCCATCCTACTCGCCCAAACCAACCCGCTTTTAACAGGCCTATTCACCCACGGATACCGCACCGCCCCATTTTTCACGACCAGAAATTCACAGCAACTGGCAGAAGCTAAGGGAGTTTATTACGTAAAAACAGGCACCAACCGCATTTGGGTACCCGCGTACTCACTGCTGAGGGAGCTGTTACTGCAGGAGGCACACGACGGAATTACCTTGGGACATTTTGGGGTAGAAAAAATGCGACAGCAACTGCAGCGGTATTACTACTGGCCGGAGCTGTTGACCGACGTGCAGCAGCACGTGGGCTCGTATCCCACGTGTCAGGTGATGAAGAGCTCGAGGAAGTAAAAGGCGGGTCAATTGCAGCCGATACCACCGCCCGAGCGCGCCTGGCAGCAGGTTACCATGGACTTCGTCACAGGGTTACCTTCGAACCCTGGGGGTAACGACGCGGTGATGGTCGTCATTGACAGGTTGACGAAGATGGCACACTTCGCTGCGTGCAAAAAGTCGATCTCAGCCGAGGAGACCGCTCGCCTGTTCACCGTAACCGTTGTTCGCCTGCACGGGATACCAGCAGCGATTATCAGCGACAGGGACACGAAGTTCACCAGCAACTTCTGGAAGAACCTCTGGGAGCAATTCGGGACACGGCTACAGTTCAGCTCGTCGTACCACCCCGAGACCGACGGTCAAACGGAACGGACGAATCAGACGATGGAGCAGTTGATTCGTGCCACGTGCAACGACCCGACCACTTGGGAGCAGCAGCTGCCGCTGATCGAGTTCGCGTACAACAATGCCACGTCAGCGACGACGCAGTAGTCCCCCTTCTACCTGAACTATGGGCAAAACCCTACAGTGCCCATGACGCCGAGTCCGGACAACCCAACACCACGTGCACAACAATTCGCCGAAATTCTGCAAGCTGCCCGCACCAGAGCCGCCGAATCAATTAAAAAGGCAAACGTCATCGCTAAGCGCAACACTGACCGCCACCGCCGCCCAGTCACGTACCAGTCAGGGGATTACGTACTGCTCGACACGCAAAATCTGCGACTGCCCGACGTACCGAAACTTCGACCGCGCTACTGTGGCCCATTCCAAATCAGCCACTTGATCACGCCAGTGACCGCGCACCTACTGTTACCGACCGACTGGTACACCAGCCCATCGTTCCACGTCAGCCTACTTCGCCCATACATCCCAACCACCAGCCAATTGCCTCGTCACCGCCCGCATTCCATGATTCGCCCTGCATCAGAGCCGATCATCGAGCCCGAAAAAATCATGAGCCATCGGATTCGCCACCCCACGGGAATCAGGAGGATTGAATTCCTCGTTCGTTGGAAGGACCGCACGCCAAATAAAGACAGCTGGGTGCCCCTGGCCAACATCGAAAACCACCCTGCCCTGCAAGTGTACCTGAGGAGCCGGGGATTCCGCGATATACACGCACTCGCGTAGCGGAGGGGGCTTCTTGAGGGGGGGGGGTAGTGTAAGGAATTTTCTCGGCATTCCTTACGAAGTCCAACTACATCGCGTACAGCAAAAGCCGTTGTTCGCCCGTTACTACTAACGGGGCTTCGCCAACTTCGCGCGCACTGTTTTGCCAAACCTTGCATTGCTGGCCCGGCCGTGTCGGCCTACGCTTCGGGACTAGCCCGAGCCTCGCTGCCAGCGCAGCACTAGCTAGCTCGCACGCACCGCGTTACCGTTTGCATGTTTCGCGTATAAATGTTCGCTCATGCCTTCGCTCATATTTTGTACTTATTTGACACTTTAGTGCAATCCTCGCTACCTCGATCCATTGCACCCGTAACAAAACCCCAGGCAAAACGCTATACTTATAGTCCTGTTTAGGGAAATTGCATAAAAAGTGGTTGTTTTGCTACTAGTTTCTGGAGTTTGGCATTTACGTGGATATGGACCGCGCTTGCTTCAACTTCCAGTCGCACGGATTTCCACGCTGATCAATGTCGCATGACTAACGGTCAAAACAAACAAAATCTACTATGGTTTGGGGGTCGAATAGTAACCCAAAAACTTCTTTTCTACCCTGTAAGCGAGATAAATGAGATGTCATCGTCGATCGCGCTGGAGACAGCGCGACAGGATCGAGAAGTAGTCGCGGTCAAGAGAAACAATTACTTGCAATTTAAAAGTTCAAATATTGAATCGATGATCCCTTCTTCATCGTTTTCCTTTAATGTTGGGCCGGTTTGATCTGGAGCCTCTGATTGGCTGCGGAGCTGATTCGTGCAATGATTCGGTCAAGCTGCAAAATTTCCCACAAAAAACGGGACTATAGGGGTCGGGCCAACCCTAGGCGATATCGGAAAATTCTACTCAGGGGGGAAAAGGGACTCTCTCAGCGAGGGCCTCTAACCCAGAACAGCTGTAGATGTCTATCGCGGGTGATCATAGTGCGATCACGGATGGTCACACGTCCCCCCGAAAAGATATCACGTTTGGTCACTCGATGAAACGATCATAATGAAATGTCAAACTTGTATGCTATGGTCTGTGTAGGCTGTAGCGGGGTAAACAATATGGGGTACAACACTTTTAGGTTTTCCCACTTGTACCCACCTACTTCCTAGTTGATTCATTCCTCGTTCTAACCTTTAACATGGTTTCAGAGCAGGTTCCCTAGTGAGAACGTTTTTTTTAGGGCCCACCACGAACTTTTTTTTCTGCCCTGCCCGAAGCGCACTGCCGTGCATGCCTTCCCCGTCACGCGCCTTGCACCTGCCTACCCGCGCCCTCGAGCGCCTGCCCTGCCTGCGCCCTCGAGCGCCTGCCCTACCCGCGCCCTAGAGCGCCTGCCCTACCCACGATCTAGAGCGCCTGCCCTACCTGCGCCCTCGAGCGCCTGCCCTACCCGCGCCCTCGAGCCCCTGCCCGTCGCCTTGCCTTGCAGGCCGCGTGCGGGCCTGCCCTGCACCCGCAAAGCCGCCCCTGGACCCCGCGGCGCTGCCCCTGGACCTTGCGACGCCGCCCCTAGACCCCGCGATGCCGCCCCTGGACCGGTGCGGCGCCGCTCCTGCTCATCGCGACGCCCCTGCGGGACCCGTGCGGCGCCGCTCCTGCTCGTCGCGGCGCCCTTGCGGGACCCGGGCGTCGCCCCTGCTCGTCACGACGCCCCTGCGGGACCCGCGCGGCGCCGCTCCTGCTCGTCGCGACGCCCCTGCGGGACCCGCGCGGCGCCGCTCCTGCTCGTCGCGACGCCTCTGCGGGACCCGCGCGGCGTCGCCCCTGCTCGTCGCGGCGCCCCCTTGGCGCCCTCCCTGCTCGTCGCGGCGCCCCCCCCCCCCCACCCCCCCCCTTGGCTGCCACGCCCCGCCTCATGTGCGGCCCGCCTGCGCCCTGCCCCGCCCCGCGCCCAACCTTGGGGCGGCCGCCCCTGCCCTGCCCTGCCGCCGCCGCGTCTGCAGCCGCCGTCGCGGCCCCACCGTAGCCGCTGTCGCGGCCCTGCCCCACCGTAGCCGCCGTCGTGCCTGCAGCCGCCGTCGCGGCCCCGCTGCAGCCGCCCGTCGAGCGCCTGCCGCCACCCGTCGAGCGCCAGACCTGCCCTACCCGTGCCCGTTGAGCGCCTGCCCACCGCCGCCGGTGGCATCTGCCCTACCCGCCTCTGGTGAGCACCTGCCCTACCCGCACTGCCCGCGCGCCTGCCTTACCAGCGTGCTCCCGCGCGTGCCGCGCCTGCCTGCCAACCGAGCCGCGCCGCCCTGCCCTACTGAGCCGTGCTGCTCTGCCCTGCTGCTACTGCTGTTACAGCTGTCACTGCTACTACTACTGCACTGCCACTCCTGCTGCTACTGGCGGTGGCTAGATGCAGCTCCAGCGACGTCCCCGTGAGTCCCTCACGCCCCAGCAGCTTCGTGAGTGGTACGCTAGTTGGGGTTGTAGGGGTGGCCTTGGTGGGAGTCGCCCTGGAGAGGGTATTCGGGAGCTTCTTGTAGTGGCCAAGTGCAGCTCCAGCGACGTCCGCGTGAGTCCCTCATGCCCCAGCAGCTTCGTGAGTGGTACGCTAGTTGGGGTTGTAGGGGTGGCCGTGGTGGGAGTTGCCCTGGAGCGGGTCGTTCGGGAGCTTCTTGTAGTGGCCAGGTGCAGCTGCAGCGGCGTCCGCGCGAGATCCTTTCGCCCCAGCAGCTTCGTGAGTGGTACGCTCAGAGTAGAGGGTCACGGAGTACTGCTCGCTGCCCGTACGTCATTCGCACAGGTGCTTGGGATGGTCAGCCTTGCGGGATGGTTGGTCACACAGAGTCCCGCTGCTTCTCCTGTCTGAGCGACGCCTGGCGTTCTGAGTTTGGCGACGACGCTGAGCTCCCCTCCTGGCTGGAGCTGCTTAGGCAGAGGGTAGATATCTTTGCTCTTGACTATGATGCTATTCTCACTGCCATGTATGCATTGCCTACTAGTGCTGAGGGTGCCTGTTACCTGTGTGTGCAGCCTGACCCAGGTATAGAGTCTGCTGCTCTAGGTGCTGGTGAGGCTGCTGCTCTAGGTGCTGGTGCGTCTCCTGCTCCAGGTGCCGGTGAGGCTGCTGCTCTAGGCGCTAGTGAGTCTACTGCTCCAAGTGCTGGTGAGTCTGCTCTCTCTGGTACTACGCCTGCTGCGGCCTTGCACACCTTCACGCTTGACTCAGGAGCTTCCCGCTCCTTTCGCGACTGCACCACACTCACGCCGCTCAGTCGGCCGGTTGCAGTCTCCCTGGCTGACCCCTTCGGGGGTCCAGTCCTTGCGCACTCCTCTACGGTTCTGCCGTGTCCGGCGGTCCCGTCTGGTTCACTATCGGGTCTTCACCTCCCCTCGTTCTCTACGAATTTGGTGAGTGGAGCTGGCCTTCAGGACGTGTGGGTTGACCAGTTCACTCCTGGAGGTCAGCGGGTGACCCACTGTACGTGCACACGGACGGGCCGACACCTGGCCGCGTTCACCCGGCAGCCTGGGTCGAGCCTGTACACACTGAATACTGTGTCTCCTCCGATTGCTGAGTCTGGTCAAGTCGCTGCGTCGGGTCAGGTGTTTGCTGCAGTGTCCCGGATTGGTCCTGAGTCTGCCCCCTGCTCGTGTCGCCTCCTGTCTCACCAGACTCTCCTCTGGCACCACCGCCTTGGTCACCCCTCCCTGCCTCGTCTTCGAGGCATGGCCTCCCGTGTCCTTGTCACTGGTCTTCCCCGGTCTCTCCCTCCCCTTCCCCCGGGGCCTGCCCCTACCTGCGTTCCTTGAGTCGAGGGGCGGCAGCGCGCCGCTCCTCACTCCTGCGAGTTCCCTCCGACAGAGGCTCCCCTGCAGACTCTTCACATGGACATGTGGGGCCCAGCCCGCATCCGTGACCAGGGTCACGAGCGCTACTTTCTGCTGGTCGTTGACGACTACTCGCGTTACACCATCGTCTTCCCCTTGCGCCGCAAGGGTGAGGTCAGTGAGGTGCTGATCGACTGGATCCGCGCAGCCCGTCGCCAGCTCAGTGAGAGTTTCGGCTCGGACCTTCCTGTTCTGCGTCTGCACTCTGACAGAGGTGGAGAGTTTTCCTCCGACCTTCTGAGGGCCTTCTGTCGTGTGGAGGGCATCCGCCAGACGTTCACGCTTCCGGCCTCTCCACAGCAAAACGGGATTGCCGAGCGCCGCATTGGCATGGTCATGGACGTCGCTCGTACATCCATGATCCATGCGGCTGCTCCCTATTTTCTGTGGCCGTTCGCGGTTTAGTATGCTGCGCATCAGCTCAACCTCCAGCCCCAGGTCTCCATGCCGGAGACCACACCTGCTCTGCGATGGACGGTGAAGGTTGGCGATGCGTTTGCGTTCTGTGTCTGGGGATCTCGAGCTTTTGTCCGCGATTTGTCTGCGGACAAGCTGTCCTCCCATGCTGTTCCCTGCGTCTTCCTTGGCTTCCCCCCTGACGCGCCTGGTTGGCAGTTTTACCACCCCACCTCGCACCGTGTTCTGTCCTCTTAGGGCGTCACGTTTGACGAGTCGGTTCCTTACTACCGTCTCTTCCCCTACCGCACTGCCCCCCTCCCCCCCCCCCGCCGCTCTTCCTAGCGCCAGGTCCTCCTCCATTAGACCCCCTCCCCCCTCAGGGTCCTGCCCCCTCAGGTGTGTCTCAAGTAGACGCAGTCGAGCCTGTCGAGGTAGCTGTTGACTCTGGTACTGCTAGGGGTGCTGAGCCTGAGCGGGTGGAGCCTGGGGGTGCTGAGACAGAGCGTGTAGAGCTTGGGGGTGCTGAGCCTGGGGTTGCTGAGTCTCAAGGTGCGGAGCCTGGGGGTGCTGAGTCAGAGGGTGCAGAGCCTGGGGGTGCTGAGCCTGAGGGTGCCGAGCCTCCGGTTGCTGAGACTGGGGGTGCTGAGTCTGCTGGAGTTCTTGTAGGTGCCTCTTCTCGGCGGGAGCCTCTCTATCCACCGCAACTACGAGAGTGGTTTGCTCGCTGCTAGCGACTCCAGCGAGGTGCTGCTGCTGGAGGTCCTGCTGGCGGTGCTACTGGTGCTAGAGCTGCTGGGGGAGCTAGAGCTGCTAGAGCTGGACGTGCTGCTGGAGCTGGAGCTGCTAGAGGTACTGCTGGTGCTGGTGCTGCTGGAGGTGCTGGAGTCGCTGGTCCCGGAGATGCTCGTACTGGAGGCACTGGAGCTGCTGGGCCTGGTGGTGGTGCTAGAGCTGGAGCTGCTGGCGGTGCTGGAGCAGGTGCTGCTGGAGGTGCTGGAGATGGCGCTATTGGAGCTGCTGGGGCTTCTGGTGGTCCTACTGGAGCTGGAGCTGCTGGAGGTACTGGAGTTGGCGCTGGTGGAGCTGCTGGTGGTGCTGCAGGAGTTGGAGCTGCCGCTGGGGGTGCTGGTGCTATCTCTGCTGGTTCTGGAGGCGCTACGTGGCCGCGGCCGTACTTCGTTCCGCTCCTTCAGCAGGTTCTTGGTCTCCCACCTTCTCCTGGTCCTGCTTCTTTCCTAGAGTGTCCGCCGCCTGTCCAGTCGCAGTCACAGTTACAGCCCGTCTCCCCACTGTCTTCTCTTTCTCCTTACACTGGTCCGACCAGAGGTCTTACGGAGCGTCGTGAGCCTAAGTCTCATCGTGCGTCGCCTGTTCGTGCTGCTCGCATTAGTCGTCGTGGTTCGCGTCAGCATCCTCCTCCTCTCCCCGGCACGCACCAGATGGTACTGCGTCCTTCCACTGCTCCGCAGCGTGTCCCTCTGCCGTCTCCTCTTGCGTCTTCTCTTCCTGCCCTTGCTGACCCGGAGTTTGACTCCCTTCGTGATGCTAGTCCTATTGTCACGCGTCTCCTGGCCACTGTTGTCACTGACCCTTCCTTTGAGTCCACTGCTGCGTCTGCCTCAACTGCTGAGCTTGTTGACTTTGCTGCACACTGTCGTCTAGACTACGCCGCTTGTCTTGTTGCTGAGTCTAAGTCTGTCTGTCCTCTGTCCGTCGGGGGTGAGTGTGCTCTTGGCACAGACGTCCTTGAGGACAGGCAGGAGGAGTTCCAGTGTTTTGCTGCTGCTTTACCTCATCTTGTGTCCATGCTGCTTGCCTCTGAGGGAGACCCGGATGCTCCAAACATCCCGACCCCGCGCTCTTACGCAGAGGTGGTTGAGGGTCCCTACTCCTCTCAGTGGCAGACAACCAGGGATGCAGAGATGGCTTCCTGAAAGTCCACAGGCACTTACGTTGACGAGGTTCCCCCACCTAGGGCGAACATTGTCGATCGCATGTGGATTTTCAGGGTGAAGCGGCCGCCAGGTTCTCCGCCTGTCTTCAAAGCGCGTTACGTTGCTCGAGGCTTCAGTCAGCGACAGGAAGTTGATTACCTTCAGACCTTCTCCCCTACCCCGAAGATGACCACTCTTCGGGTACTGCTGCACGTCGCCGCTCAGCGTGACTACGAGCTTCACTCTCTTGACTTCAGCACAACCTTCTTACAGGGCAGCCTTCACGAGGAGATCTGGCTGCGCCGCCCACCTGGCTTCACTGGGTCGTTCCCTCCTGGTACCCAGTGCAGCCTCCGCCGGCTAGTCTACGGTCTCCGCCAGGCGCCTCGCGAGTGGCACGACACATTGAGGACGACTCTTGCGGCTCTTGGATTTGCTCCTTCTACTGCTGACCCGTCGCTGTTTCTACGCACTGACACTTCGCTGCTACCGTTCTACATCCTCGTGTACGTCGACGACTTGGTTTTTGCCACTGCTGACACTGAGGCACTGACTCTAGTGAAGTCGGAGCTGCAGAAGAGACACACGTGCACATACCTCGGTGAGTTGCGCAGCTATCTTGGCTTGCAGATCACGCGGGACAGAGCACGCCGCACCATCACCCTGACTCAGTCATACATGGTGTAGCAGGTCCTTCAGCACTTTGACTTCCAGTACTCCTCGCCACAGTCCACTCCTCTGCCTACCGGTCACTCGCTCTCAGCTCTGCCTTCGGATGAGTCCGTAGAGCCGAGTGGCCCGTACCCAGAACTTGTGGGCTGCCTAATGTACCTGATGACCTGCACTCGTCCTGACCTTGCTTACCCTCTTAGCATCCTGGCACGCTACGTTGCGCCCGGGAGACACTGACCAGAGCACTGGAAGGCAGCTAAGAGGGTGATGCGCTACTTGTGCTGTACGTTGGGCAAGGGGCTCATGCTTGGGGGACGGAGTCCAGTTGTTCTCACTGGTCACGCAGACGCTTCTTGGGTTGACGACTTAGCTACGCAATGGTCGTCACAGTGTTACACCTTCAGCCTTGGCTCCGGTTCTGTCTCGTGGCGGTCTACCCACTCGTATTCTGTTCTCAGCTCCAGCAGTGAGGCTGAGATCTACGCAGGGGCCATGGCTGCACAGGAGCTACGCTGGATCACCTACCTGCTAACCGACCTGGGCAAGGCGCCTCGTTCTCATCCAGTTTTGTACGTCGACAACAAGGCAATGCTTGCCTTGTGTCGCGAGTAGAGACTGGATCACAGAACGAAGCACATTGCTCTTCGCTACTTTCTTGCTCGAGAGTTGCAGCAGCTTGGTCAGCTTCGTCTTGTTTACGTGGCCTCTCAAGCTAACATGGCTGATATCTTCACCAAGGCACTTCAGCCTTGTGATCATCAACGATTCTGTACTGTTCTAGGCCTTGTCCCCACTTGGCCTCACTTGCTCACTTCTTGACATTGCTTGTACTGTGATCTCTATATATATACCTACATGCGTACACTTGCTAGGTTGTGATCACTGTCTTGCTTGTTCTACTTTATACAACTCTGCGTGTGAACTGGCCTTGTGGCCCCGCCGAGGTCGGACTCGCCAACTTCGCCTGGGCGACCGTCGCACTCCTCCGCAGAATCTCGTCACCCAGGTAGCCTGGTCGACCGGGCAACCACGTCGACCAGGTGCTCCTGTATGTGCCCGTCGACCTCCCAAGTCAACGGCCACCTTCATTCGACCTCACCAGGTCGACCACACCCCTGGTCGACCAGCTCCAGGTCGACGTCACTCCTGGTCGACCAGCTCCACGTCGACCAGCCCAGTCGTCAGCCGACCACCCAAGTCGGCTACCAGAAGTCGGCGTCACCAAGTCGGCGACCTCCCAAGTCGGCGACGTTGCAAGTCGGCGACCTTGCAAGTCGGCGACCTTGCAAGTCGGTGACCTTCCAGGTCGACGTGCCACATCGCCGACCACCAGTTGAAGTCGGCCGCCGGCTTCCCAAGTCGGCGGCATTGCAGTGGCCCCGTGCAAGTCGACCAACCCCGTCGACCCGCTCGCCCAAGTCGGCGTCGCCCACTGCTGCAAGTCGGCTGTATCTCTCGTACACCCGACCATGTAGTCGGCTCCGCCCAAGTGAGGACGGGGCCAACAACAACTCCCGTTGACACTCCCCTGCCGCGTTCACGCTTGGGCCCCCAGCCCACACGGCATCACTGCTCGGAGAATAGCTCGTTGACGTGCACCCAACACACAGCACGTCGTCCACCGCACCAGCCATGCAAGAGGGCATGGCACCTACTGCTGCACATGGCCACCTTTGTTGCCCACGTCGGCCAAGCGCACCTGGCCGATGGCGACGGAGCACCGGTTGAAAGCCGGATAGTGCAGCGCCTTCGTCAGGAAGTCGGCCGGCTGCTCGGTGGTTGGGATGTACCTCAGCGAGAACTTCCCGCGCCTCACCATGTGCTGCAGCCAGGCCTGTCGCCGCTCCATGTGCTTGAGGTTGCCCGTCAACCCCATGCCCTCGGCGACCGTGATGGCCGACTTGTTGTCCACGCGAAGGATGGTCGGCTTCCCGGCATCCAGCTGCCGGAACTCTGCAAGGAGGAAGCGAAGTCGGCGTCCCTCCTTGCCGGCTTCGGTGGCTGCCACGTACTCCGACTCGGTCGACGACAACGTCGCGCACTTGATGCGCTGGCTCGACCAGGAGACTGCGGCCCCTCCGTAGACGAACACGTATCCGCCCGTGCTCGTCCTGTTCTGCTTGTTACCGGCGTCGTCGGCGTCCACGTAGCCGACTAGCTCCAGCGACTCAGGTCCACCGCCGAACTCGAGGGCGGTGTCACGTGCGTTGGCGATGTAGGCGAGGCAGCGGTCGACCTCGCGCCAGTGCTGGTCGCTCCTCACCGTGAGGCCGCTCCCCAGCTTGCTGCAGGCAAAGGCGATGTCCGGCCTCGTCGTCGTCGCCGCGAACTGCAGCGAGCCGACCTTCTGCCGGTACTCCTCCTCCTGTCGCTCCTGTGCCTCCTCGTCGTCGAAGGTGAGCTCGGCGTAGGCGTCGACCGAGATCGGCGTCTTCGGGGTGCGCCCGGTCCTCTCCTCGTCGATGAAGCGCCTACACAGCTTGTCGGCATAGCCCTGCTGGTGCAGCCACAGCTTCCTCGCCGACCTGTCGCGGACGATCTCCAGCCCGAGGTACTTCTGCACCGGCGAGATCTCACGCAGCTCGAAGGCGGACTCTAGCAGCTCCTTCAGCTCCTTCAACATCTCGGTGCTGCTGCTGGCGGCGAGCAGGTCGTCGACATAGACCAACACCCAGCAGGCCACTCCGGCGTTGCCGACCTTGAAGTAGAGAGCCTCGTCGACCTGGCTCTTCCTCCACCCGGCGTCGACCAGCACGTCGTTGAGCGCCAAGTACCATAGCAGCAGCGACTGCTTCAGCCCGTACAGGCTCTTCAGCAGCTTGCACACCCGGCCAGTTCCGTCGTTGAAGTAGTCCGGCTGGGACATGTAGAGCACCTGGTCGAGCTTGCTCTGCAGAAAGGCGTTCTTCATGTCGAGCTGCATCAGGTTGAGGTTGAGGACGGCGACGATGCTGAGGAAGATCTTCAGCGTGACGTAGCTACCCACCGGCCCAAACGTCTCGTCGTAGTCGGCACCATACACCTCGGTGAAGCCCTTCACGACCAGCCTCGCCTTCTCGCGCTCGACGGTGTCGTCGACGTGGTACTTCGTCGTCAACACCCACCGGTTATTTATGATGTTCACTCCCGGCGGGCGTTCGACCAGCTCCCAAGTGCCCATGTTGATGAGGCTGCGGATCTCCTCCTCCATGGCGGCCTTCACCGCCGGGCCCTTCCAGCTCGCCAACGCCTCCTTCACCGTCATTGTCGAGATGTCCCAACGGTGCTCGGCGTCGGCATGCATGTCAGGGTCGAGCTCCGGAAACTCCTCATCCTCCTCGGCGTCGTCATACGCCAGGTCGTCGTCGTCCACGTCGTACACCGTGGTGAAGGCAGCGGGGACGAAGAAGTCGGGCGGCCTCCGAAGTCGGCCTGACTTCCGGGGTTCAGGCCGAACCTCCACCACGCCGCTGTCGGTGGACTTCTCCCCTTCACCACTGGCTTCGCCGCCCTCGTCGTCCTGCTGCACCTCGGTCGACTTCCTGGTCGACCTCTCCCTTGTAGTCGGCTCTTCTGCTGACTGCCTGGTTGCCGACTGCTCCATGGTCGGCGTCACCGCTGCCTGCTCCCCTGTCGGCTGCTGCCCTACTGGTGTCTTCTTCGTCGGCTTCACCCAAGTCGGCTGCTCCTCCTCGACCTGCGCTCCCACGTCGACTTGCCGCTCGACACGTCGGCCACCGGCGATGCCATTGGCCGGCGCCGAAGGCGACGTCCCACTACTCCCCTCATCGCCGGAGGCCGACATAGGAGTCAGCCCGTGTAGGTCGGCCACGAGGGGAGGGGCAGGGGTCGTAGGGGGAGGGGAAGGAGGACGGACGACCTCGACGTCCTCACTAGCAAGCTCACCGACCTCGGCGAGTAGAGGCAACGTCGCCGTCGAGAAGTCGGACGACTGGGTGGTCGGCGTCCGACCAGACGCCGTCCCGTGCTCCGACTTCCACACCTCCAGCGACAGATCCTCGTAAAACACCACGTCCGACGTGGTGACCACCCGGTTGGCATCGATGTCGAGGAGCTCCCAACCCTTGCTCTCCGCCGACACGCCGAGGTGAAGGCCCCACCGGGCCTTCGGCTTCAGCTTCCCACCACGCTGCTGCTCGGGGACAAGGAACTGCGCCATGCAGCCCCACACCCAGGCCAGCGACAAGTCGGGCTTCTGCCCGGTTAGCAGCTGGTACGGCGTCGTCCCCGACGGCAGCGTCGATCTCTCAAGGCAGTTGCGGACCCAGACGGCCTGCCGCAGAGCGAGGTGCCACCAGTGGTGCTGCACGCCCATGTGCAGTAGCATC